AAAAAAAAAAAAAAAAAAAAAAAAAAAAAAAAAAAAAAAAAAAAAAAAACAACTTGCTTCCACAAAACCTCCAAAATCCTCAAATATCCCATCATAATTAGGATCTAGGCTTGGCAAAGGCTCGGTGATAGAAGGGTGACTCTTGAGAGAAGAACTGTCAAAATCAGAGAAATTTAGGGAGAAAAAGATCTACGATGAGGACAAAATGATCGGGAAGTGGATGATGGAGACCTGTGGAAATGGCACTATAATGGAGCTGATCACATGCCACTATTTTCAAACCCTCTCCAAACCTTCCAATGCCCTCTTCAGGAATACTTCAATGTCAGCTGTCGGTTAATGTGTCCAGTGCGTGGACCTAATACTGTTGGGCCTTGTACTTTTGTTCGAAAGCCTGCATCAACGAACAACGTGGTACCCTTGGACTGATGTTGGACATTTATCACCTCTTCTTTGTCAACCTCTCGTTTTTGTTCTTTTGTTCTTTGTTTTTTCTATTGCAATGTCTATTTCTTCATTTGTCCCCCAACTTAAAACAAATTTCTTTGTTTCAACTAAGTTTTGTCGTTGTAAAATCTTCAACTCTTTACACATCTCAATAATATTGTCACTGTCAATCTCTGCCTCGATCACATGGAGCAGAGGCATTTTGTATTGGTTCATGGGGCTTGCCATGGAGCATGGACCTGGTACAATATCAAGCCGCTTGGTTGTGGCCATGGAGAAGTTCCCTGCAAAGATAGAAGCTTCTGTTTTCTTGACAGCCTTTGCTCCTGATACCCACCACAACCCTTCTTATGTCTTAGATCAGGTAAATATATACTCATCTCGCCAGCATACAGAGATTTTTTTTTCTTTTAAGAGTTCTGTTTCTTGTTTGTTTATATTGAAGTTCCTGGAGAGAGCTCCCAAGGGATTTTGGCTGGACACCCAGTTTTCTTCTTATGAAACCGCAGCAGCAGATGAACCTTTAACTTCATTTTTGTTTGGCCCCGAATGCATGGCCAAGAACCTCTATCAGCTCTCCCCTTCCTTTTTTTTCCCATTGTTCTCCTAAATGGATTTTGATTGATTTTTGAGTGGTTCACCACAATCAAAAAAGCCTCTCCAAGTTTTCAAGTGTCTTCTTCAGGTAGCTCAAAACCACACTTAAATGGGTGTTGCATTTCGATCTTCTTTCAAGTTTTAATAATAAAATCACCCTGCTGCTAATTTACGACAATGGTTTTCAGTCAATTCTCTCCCTCTCTATACACTAATTAATTCCTTACCATTCATTTCATAATTTCACAGTTGAATCAGAAATTACCAAAGTGGTGGCATCAGTTAAAGAAAGGAGGAAAACCCAACAAAAATTCATTACACAATTAAATTGCAAAATGTCATTACAATGGAGACCTGACATCAATTTAAAGAAAAAAGGTTAAGAATTGGAAAATCACCAAAAATTCGGTACACAATTTTTCAGTCAAATTCCTTCAGAGAAGAATGCAGATGAGAATAATTCAAGTGAACAATTTTAAACATGCTGTAAAGACGTTATATATATACCCTTTCATTCAAAGGTAAACTTGCCAATCCTGATGGCGGCTCAGAGATGCAACCACTGGTCCAAGAAGAATATCTGATAAACACTCGAGCTGTTTCCTGCAACCGCAAGTCGATTTTTTTGTACAGCAGGCCACCAACAATGACAAGATTAATACTGTTCCCCCCTAACTAATCGCATCACCAGAAAAACATCGAGTTTTCATAAGACATCCATCATACCTATGTTGTATTCTACAGAGTTACAGAATTCTCATATCGCCTCACCGCTCTCTTTCAGAAAACATATGAGCCGTAGCAGGATGTTTATCTTTCATAAAACAATCAGCCAAAGCAGCAGGGTTGTTTTGAGAAAACGTTCCAATTTCCTTCAACTTCGCAAGAAAGCGTCAGATACCTTTAGGCTTTTACTGCATGTAGAATAATCTGATAGAGAACTGTCAATGACTAAGAAATTGGCCTTTCCTCGAAGATATGCCAGATATGTCTCGTAATCCTTGGCTGTTTTTTCATCAGTTGTTACTTGTAGCTGGTAATAATAATCTTACATGGTCATTTATGACTAGTAGCGCCGAGCAGTTCGGGACTTTGGCTTTGACGATTTCTGCAATAAAATAAGATGGGTTATATAGCTCGAATGTACCAAGCATGAGATTTATATTTCCCGCATATACACGCAGCCCCATACATCCCCAATAGATCTTCATTCGGATTCATTAGCAGAAATGCCAAAGAAACACCATGAAGGTAATAAACCGAAGAACAGAAACCTAATAGGAGAAATTTTTAACTCACCGAGGTTGCCCCAAAGCTAGCCCCAGATCCTGTTGCAGCACCTATGAAAACAGTACAAGTCATGGTTATAAACTGATCCCATCTGGCAACCGGTAACTGGGGAACGTACCAACATTAAATAACATACATTCCTCCTATGTCAAGTCAATTAAAAACTCAAATCAGACATGTTCTTGTAAGTAATAACGATAAGGAAATCATGCCAAATCATTTAATCTATTTCCCACAACCACACGTGTTTAAGCTAATTTACATGTGCTTGAAGTAATTTTATCTACATCCAGCTTTCTAACATTTGAAAAGAAAAAGAAAAGAGAAAAAGATAATAACATATATATATATTTGAAAAAGATGTACTGATTTGCTACTATCAATCTTCGAACCCACACCCATACAATTTCTTTTATCAAAACTTATCTCATTGACTGTTGGGCCAAGATAGGATAATTGTAAGAATTATATCACATTAACAATTTGTACAGAAACAAGCTTGTTCAAATGCAAGGAGCAACCATTGTTCCGAAGGGTCTCAAGATAAATAAAACTACAAAGCACCGCATAAATAAGTTAAGGACAAAAAAAGGCTACTAGAATTGAAAATTCTATTAAAAGTTATGAGATAGAATGCTATCATACTATGCAGAACGGTCACTAACAAAAAGAATTAATACTAGTAATATTACATGGGGATATGATATGCGTTAAATTAAATATAACATGCTGAAATAGCTGAAATATACTGAAAGGGAAAAAGATAGAATAATTACTCCAAACTAATTCAAGGTACTGGAGCTTCCCTCTCCACTCAAGCCTAAACCAACAAAACCAATGCCTACCTCCCTCTCCTCCCAGTCATCTATTTATAATTGATACCTAATAACAAACTCCTCAAGTTAATTACTAATATACTGTTGATACCCTAATAATATATCTAGCTATAAAATTGCATTCCTATTAGACGGGATCATCGTAGTTTGTGGAATTCTTTTTTTTTTTTTTTTTTTTTTTTTTTTTTTTTTTTTTTTTTTTTTTTTTTTTTTTTTTTTTTTTTTTTT